CCTAGCCAATTCCGGTCAGGATAGCCATTTCCAGGTCAAAGCGTCTCGTAACTAGGATACCCAGACACCTCCGCCTAGCAAGTTCCGGCCAAGGCATCTCGCGTGACCAGAATCCGTGACGTTACATGGCTACGTAAGCGCGCAACGTGACCATGTGATTTACGCACACGCGTGTAGTAGTGACGTGACCTGGCCACGCCCCCAGCCGGTTTTAAAGTAGAGCGCCATGCTTCCCAGTCCTTCTTCTTCTCCACGCACGTGTCTCTCCCACAGGCCTGCACATTCTATCCCTTTATCTCTAATAAACTCTATAAGCAGATTCTGTCGTGTTTCGTGACGTTTCCTTGCAGGGTAAGAACACAACGCAGCTAAATAACTAACACGGACCTCTCTCAGCATCTCCAGTACCTGTTACGGCAGGCATGGGTTGATATACCCTACCCCTACCCTAACCTCTCCAGCCCCAGCACTGTGCTGGGCCCTCCCCCCAGCTTCTTTTCCCTACATAACCCAGCCATTCTGGTTATGCTGGTCTCTTGATCTCCTGGCCTCTTGGCTCCTGGTTCCTCTCTCTCACCCCGCCCCCTTCATGGCCTGGTTCAGTCTGGACCATTCCAGATACTTTGGTATACCTGCCCTCGGATCTATAATAAACCTTTTCCTCAACCCATACCTAGGAACAGTTTTCATGCTATAACTAACTTTTAGATGCTAGGGATTTGGCCTCCTCTAGTCCCTAATTGCATCTTGAGAATTTGGGGGCTTAGAGATAGACCAAGCCCTTGGCGTTCTTCCCGTCCATTTGAGAAGAACACGTCTCAGTGTTAAGAATGGCTGCTTTCCTTAAAGGATCCCTGTTTGGAAACACTGAAAGATTCTGCTTACATAGCAACAATGGTGTGATCCAGCATCTCTCTTTAGCTGCTGCAGAACATGGCTTGGAAGAATAGGTAGAACAGGCTAGAGGTAGCTTCTGCAAGATGGGATGGAAGCGATCGAGACACTGGCTCCTCTGTATACCTTGTGACTGCCCTTCTGCATTTCTTCTCTGGAAACTCCTGACCACGCAGGAGAGGGCTTCAGCCTAGTGGGCACTCTAGCAGCCTCTTTGATTGATGCTTTAAATAATAGACCAGGCAGAATACATCCCGTGCAGGGAAGCCCTGACCAGAGTTAGGGCGGAAGACGCCCCATGTGAACCTGGTGTTCCTAGCTTGGATTCAATGGGTCCTGTTCTCTATGGCCTCCAAAGGGACAGAGCTGTTGGATCCTTACATGTGAGCAGTGACTGCATGGGTTGGAATGTAATTGGCCCCCATGAGCTCATAGGGAGTGGCACTATTGGTAGGTGTGGCCTTTTGAAGTAGGTGTGGCCTTGTTGAAGGAAGTGTTTCACTGTCGGGGCAGGTCGGAGGTCTCTTTTGCCTAAGCTTGGCTCAGTGTCACAGACACCTCCTGTTGCTTTCAAGATGTAGGACCCTCAGCTACTTCTCTAGCACCATGTCTGCCTGCACACCACCATGCTTCCTGCCATGATGATAATGGAGTGAGCCTCTTAAACTATAAACGAGCCACTCCAATTATACGTTTTCACTTTTAAGAGTTTCTGTGGTCATAGTGTCTCTTCACAGAAATAGAAACCCTAACTAAGACAGAAATTGGTACCAGGGACTGGGGTATTGCTGTAACAGTGGTACTAAGAGTTATTTGAACTGCGGGGTGGGGGTGGGGGTGGTGGCGCATTCAAGAGCTTTCAGAGGAGAAGAATTTTAGTATGTTGCCTAGAGATCATTCTTACGATATTTTGGTAAAGAATGTGGCTGTCTTTTATCCTTGTCTGAAGAGTCTGCCTGAGGTTACAGTGAAGAGTTTCGGATTAATTCCTTTGGCAGAGGAAATCTCAAAACAGCCTAGTATAGACCCTGTGGTTATTAGTGGTGACTCTAATGAAGATTTATAATGAAAATGAGCAAGCTGAGCAGGGTAAATTACAAAAAGTAAATTTTGAGGAGAAAAAGAGCACCAGGAAGTGGAATGGAGCTAAGTCCTGTGTTCAAGGAGATAAATGGAATAAAGGGAGTGGTGACCCCAGGGCAAGATCCTACCCAGCTAAGTTTCCAACTTGTGAAAAGGAACTAAGGAAAAGATTAGAGCTCTGTATGGTGGTGCACACCTTTAATCCCAGCACTAGGAAGACAGAGGCTGGAAGATCTCTGAGTTTGAGGCCAACCTAGTCTACAGAGCAAGTTTTGGGATAGCCAAACTTAGGCAGTGAAGGACAGAAAGCTGGTGAAGATGCAATTGAACAAGAGACCATATTCCAGTCTCAGTAAGCAGCAGAACTTGGCAGCTTTGGCCACCTGGTTCTGGCTTTAGAGTTCAGAATAGAAGAAATGGATTATGCAATCTGCCTCCAAGTGCACATAAGGAAAGCTGCTGAGGCCAGGCATGAGTCAGGGATGTCCCTGCATGGAGGCCTAGAGAGGCCTTTGTGTGAAGCTGTGAGGTTGGAGCCTGGATTGCCTTGGCAACCCCAAGATTGCCAGAGTCATGGGATACCTGCTGAGGAGACCTGCTACCAAGGAATGGAACCAGCCCAAGATAAAGAAGTGTGTTATAATCAACAGAGCTGAAGAGAGTTGGAGATATGAAGAACATTTTGACATCAGACATGGAGATGCAGAGTTTGTAGTTTGCCCAGCTTGTTTTTGGTCTTGCTTTGGTCCAGTATTTCCTCACTATGCTCCCTTCCATACGTTTTGGAATGGTAATATATATCCTGTGCCATTATATGTTGGAAGTATGTGATCTGCTTTTTGATATTGATTTTATAGGGGATTACAGTTAAGAGACTGCATGAATCTCAGAAGAGGCTTTGAACTTTTAAACATTGTTGAGACTGTGAGAGATTATGGGGACTTTGGAAGTTGGACTAAATGCATTTTGCATTATGATATTGTTACAAGCCTTTGGGGGCCAGGGAGTGGAATGTGGTCATTTGAGAGAAAATGGCCCCCAAAGCGGATGGCACTATTGGGGGTGTGGCTTTGTTGAAGAAAGTGTGTCATTGTGGGGGCAGGTTGGAGGTCTCTTTTGCTTAAGCTCAGCTCAGTGTCACAGACAATTCCTGTTGCCCGCAAGATGTAGGACTCTCAGCTACTTCTCCAGCACCATGTCTGCCTGCATGCTGCCATGCTCCCCGCCCTAAGGATAGTGGACTGAACCTTTGAAACCATAAGCGACTCATCCCAACTAAGCGTTTTCCTTTATAAGAGTTGCCATGGTCATGGTGACTTTTCACAGCAATAGAAACCCTAACCAAGACCGTGGAATACTTGTATTGCAACCTGGGCATCTGGTATGTGCTATCTCACGCAGACGCTACCAGACACAGGTGACTAGTCAGTTCTTTACATAGGGCTAGTCTAAATGGAGATGTCCTGGGCAAAGAAGGTAGCTCAGTGCTAGAGTGTTAAGTACCTGCTTAACAAGTGTGAAGGTTTTGGTTGAAACTTCAGCATGGGGATGGGAAATAGGGGCATAAAATACAGTGCATTTGACTATCTTGTCTAACAACTAAATCAAGATTGTAAGGGTATACGGCGGCGGTGGAAGCTGGCGCTGGTGGCTGCATGGAAAGGTCACGACAGAACCCAGTGATACCTTTTAGAGCTTTATTATAGGAGAAGGAGAGAGACAGACAAGAGAGACAGAGAGACCTCACAGAGAGTGCAGAGAAACAGAGACAGAGAGACCACACAGAGAGAGACAGAGACAGAGAGACTGCACAGAGAAAGAGTGGAGAGAGAGAGAGAGAGTGAGTGGGAGTGCACATCCTGCTTTTAGGCTGGGATGCAGTCACCTGCTGATGACGTAATAAGGGGCCAGCTGAGACAGCTGCTGAGCTGCTGAGCATATACAGAATTCTTACAGAGATGGCAAACAGGGAGGGAGCAAGGAGGGACGAGGAAAGAGAGAAGGGTTTGGTTACATGTGGTGGCCCAAGAGGAATCCAAGCCCCTGGGAAGCAGAAGTAAGAGGACTGTGAGTTCCAGGCCCACCTGGGCTACATAATGGGACTGTTTAAACAGAGCAGAACAAAATCAAACAGGGTCTGAGAATGTGACTCAGTGGGTAAAAATGCTGGCTGCCCTGTTCAGATCCTCAGGACCTATGTAAAAGCACCCATAAAACCAGTCCTGGGGGGTTGATGCAGAGACAGGCAGGTCCCCAGGGTTCGCTGACCAGCCAGTCAGTCTAGCTGAAATGGTTAGCCCCAGGTTCAGCGGGGAAACTTACCTCAAAACAACAACAACAACAACAACAAAAAGTGATGAATGATAGAAGGTCCCCGAAGTTGGTCTCTGGCCTCCTTGTGTGCCGCACAGGTGAACACTCACACACCCACACACAGTAGGTATAGACGCACACATATACCTTTAGACCCAGAACCAAACAGAACGTGAAGAGAACAGGGAAGTTTTCCCAAGCTGTGGGACTTTCAGTCTTGAACTGGGACAGTCCTCAGCAGTGGGAAGCTGCAGCCAGAAAGCAGGAAGGGACT